CAGCTAGTCATCACCACCCACCGCCAACTCTTGAGCTTCTCTTTTACCAAAGAATAGTGGGATTGACCGTCATATTATAATGCCCCCACGGCTGAAAGGGCAAGTATGTTTGGTGTGATGGGGATTTGAACCCGCAGCCCTCAGATTGCGAGTCGAGCACCCTAACCATTTGGCCATGCTGGGCCCGTCAACACAAGTACACTAATTACCAAAAAAACAGACAGTCCATTCCAATTTCTAATCAAATAACTAAAATAGTATTATTTTTATTTTCCATTAATATTATGTTCAAATTAAAACCAATTATAATATTCTAAAGAGAATGAAAGGATGTTCATTACACCTGAAGTAGTCCAGTTATTCATAAACTGAAGCAAACCATAAAGTGTTAAATGATGATGCTTATCTAATTTTTAAAGAAGATAACAGGTTAAAAACAATTTTTAAACTTACTGAATTATGGCTGCCCTCTCGAAGTACTTGATAGCTTTCTCAAAAACCTGAGATTCTATATAGTAAGCTCCTAGCCACTCTATAATTTCTATGTTAGATGGAAAGTAACGATAGCTCTGGAACAGAAAATAAAATGAACACGATGAATACTTTCAACATATTCAATAAAAGGTTAGAAAACTGGCAAATAAACACAAAAATATATTAACCAAATCTATATATAAGACTGGTTACCATATTATTAGCAGCAAACTTTCCTTGTATCAAAATAAAAATATAAAATCTGTATATAATTTTTATAATTTTTTTTTTTAACTATGGAAACCTGTACTATACCCAATGTTAAGCATTATAAGCCCTCTGATCTAACACTGAACTAATGGGTAGCAAACTGTTGAAAAACAGTGCTAAATAAACTTTTAAAGAGTACCATGGATAATATGATACACACTTATTGCTGACCAATTTCACTTTAACAGACTACACTCTCTGATTTCTGATAATCATAGCTATGTCTGATAACATAAACCTAACAAATCAGGAGTTTTATCACATGCCTTTTTTGAACATTTATTTATCAATTTACAAATGAGAAATGATAATTCAGGGCTTAATGTTCATAAAAAAAGCATGAAGCAACATCTCAAAATGTTTGAAAGATAAACAAAAAGACCCAGAATTCACAAACCTTATTCTTAGAACATTTATTATGTACTTTTAATGTACAAATACAAACTAGTACTTGGACTAGAATATTTAGCAGGGTACATATACATCTAAATGTCAGTACTTGGGTTAGTATATTTCGAAAAAAACACTTATATAAATATAAACCAGTGGTTTAGTAGGGTGCTGGTATATAACAAGGTAAGTACTTAGATCCATGTTTTATTATGGTACTGGTTCATACCAAAACAATATTTAGATCCATGTTTTAGTATAGTACTGGTTCATACCAAAACAGTACTTATATCCATGTTTTAGTATAGTACTGGTACATACCAAAACAGTACTTAGATTTTTGTTTGTCTGTTTTAGGTATCAACAAGTGGCCACACTTGTGCCTACAGACCCACACTTGTTGGCTAAGATTGGAGATATGTGTGAAACTGAGGGGGACAAACAACAGGCTTTTCAGTATCATTCTGATGTAAGTTTGAATTTTAAACCAATACTGTACTAATGTACCAATACTGTACTAAAACATGAAACCAACAATTTGTCTTGGTATGAACCAGTACTATACTAAAACATGGATATAAGTACTGTTTTGGTATGAACCAGTACTATACTAAAACATGGAAGTAAGTGACCATACATGTGCTGACAGACCCTCACTTGTTGGCTGAGATTGGAGATACATAAGATACATTTTTAACCATTTAGATACCCAAGACAGACCGACAGATAAAAATCAATGGTTAAAAAGTATCTTATGCATCTCCAATCTTATCCAGTAAGTGAAGGCTAAAATAAACTTATAAAAAGGCTATATAGGAAGATAAGAAATAAGTAAAATACACATTACAGCATTTTGACAAGTTTTCTTATCATCATCAAGTGTGTTATATAAATACATTTGAAAATATAACAGTTAAGTGAACCAATCATGAAGTAATTGAAGTATCACTGGTGAATAAATACAATGGGAACCATGATATTTGTTTATAGAGGATTTTTTATTTCTTATTAATAGAGCTTCTGTGATTTTTCTTTTGGCATTATGTTTTTTCTTAAAAATTATGTGAAAAGAATAACAGGAGATGTTGTGACCCAGTCGTCTTTATGTCAAAAGATGTGATGGTCTGTTGCACAAATGTGACTTCTTTATTATGACTATGGTAATTCGAGGATAAACCTAGCTTACAGTGACCTGATCTCTGCAACAGCTAGAGATTCAAGGACCTAGTCTGTGAAGGACAAGTATAATGATATGTAGTGGTGGAATAAAAGAGACAAGACACCATGTGAAGTCTTTCCTGTTTCTGCAGAGTCCATCATCTACTGTATAATTTGTGATCTTTGGAACTTTGATGAGACAGGTTGCAAAAAAATATATTATTGAGGGTAAGCCAGTCTCTGGACATTTTTGTGATGACAAATATGGTCTTTCACATCTCAAATAAGGTGCCTTCAATTCTGCTCCACGTGAATGTTCCTCACATGAAAATGAGGAATAGTGCCTTGTTCATATACTCGGAACTCTTTCTCTATCATGATTACACATAAATGTTTCTTTCATTTAATGTTTTTTGACAACTAGTGTTTTTATAGTCATTTATCGTGGTCTATAGTTCACATCGATGTCCTACGTTCATATTTCTCTTTTTTAAAATTACTAGTTTAGTACCTGTAAAAAAGAAAATTTTGTTGTATTTCTTTGCCTTTCTTTGAATTACCTTGATGTACTTTTTTACATTGACTCAAATTTATTTTATTAATTTATTATGAAAGATTTATCTGTATTTTACTGTATTATTTGTTTTTCTGAAACAACATTTTTCCAACAATTACTGCTGTTGATTTTTGACAAGCAACATTTTTTCCAATGGAGATGAAACATTTTATTACTGAAGGAACAGAAAAAAAACAGGCAGATTATGTGAACTAAAGGACTAATGTGGTCTATTAAAGTTAAAATAAATAATGGAATTAAATTTAGTTTTAATGGAGACACTAAATAATAGAAAACTATTTGATAACAAAAAAGTGCATCTGAAAATAAACTTTATTGGCACAAGAGTTAAATAATAAAAGATCAGCATAAAGGGATCAAAAGAATGTAACCATCACAAGACTTGAATGCAATTTTGATTCTCCCAAAGTCAGAAATAGGTCTATGTAAAAATGCCAAAACTGTGTCTATAATTCACATTCTCTCTGTATACAGTCAACCAAAAAGTTGGATTATAAGAATCTGAAAGTTTTTCTGTTTGTAAAGCAATCTTTCCTACACAAGGTACAGTAGAATATGCAGTTATTCCATGAAACAAAACAGTTTCTGTGGTAAAAAACTGATGATCTCTTTCATTCTAATCACCAAAATAAAATAGCTGCAGTTAGTCTGAAAGTAGTTGAATATGTATAACAAAGTACTATTAATTAAAATCTGATTTGATAAAAGTTAATAAGATCCTCTTACGGATCTTGAGTAGTCCAGTAATTTTTAACTGGTTTGAGTCTCAAACACACACATTACTTTTATCACACTTCAGTCATTTTTTGTAAGCTCAAATATACACCGAATAGATGACAGTTTTATAACTTTCTTGAAAGCTACATAATATCTATTTGTGAATAAGTCATCCCTACTTCTGAACTGACATACAAGAGCAAAAGCAACTAGTCAATAGCTCCCACTGCCAATTCATGGGCTAATCTTACGTGACTAAATAGTGGATTTGGCTATCAGTCTCATAGCATACCCACAACATAAAGTGACGAGTACGTTTCTGCAGAAACAGGATACTAACCACAAACATTTGGATTCACAATCAAGGCATGCTAGCAATTATTCCACACTCAGCTACCAAATATACAAAAGAGATGTACCTTCGAAGCTACTGTGATCTACTGACCATTCTGGGACAGAAGAGATGTACCTTTAAAGCTACTGTGATCTACTGACCATTCTGGGACAGAAGAGATGTACCTTCAAAGCTACTGTGATCTACTGACCATTCTGGGACAGAAGAGATGTACCTTTGATACTGCTGTGATTTACTGCCCATTCTGGGACAGAAGAGATGTACCTTTGATACTGCTGTGATTTACTGCCCATTCTGGGACAGAAGAGACGTACCTTTGATGCTACTGTGATCTACTGACCATTCTGGGACAGAAGAGATGTACCTTTGATGCTACTGTGATTTACTGCCCATTCTGGGACAGAAGAGATGTACCTTTGACACTACTGTGATTTACTGCCCATTCTGGGACAGAAGAGATGTACCTTTGATGCTACTGTGACTTACTGCCCATTCTGGGACAGAAGAGATGTAGCTTTAATGTTACTCTTCATTCAGAAGAGACTAAATCCTGCTGATGATAGCTGCTTTCAGAATGATGATATTAGTAAGCTCTGTGTGTTGTGTCATTAATTTTGAAAATCCTCTGTCCTGCATTTCTAATGTTCTTAATTTCATGGTGTGAAAATGTTAAAACGTTTGATATATTTTTATTTATTTTTATTTCTTTCCACTTATAATTGACTTAAATTAGTTTGGGGGGAACCCTACCCTTCACCATTAAACCTGTTTTCATAACTTTCGAAGTGAAGGATGTATGGGTTAGCACAGTGAGATTTAGTGGGAAATATTGTTTGATTTATAAGAATTTGGAATATATATATATATTTTAAACATTATACCAGTACTACTAAGGATAATATTTTACCATTCCATAGCCTGATCCATATCTCCTAAAGTTTCATATCTGGTAAGGTAAAGGTTAAGGATGTAAAGTGAGTCACAAATTATATACAAGTACATGAAATTACACCAACTTGCTTTAAAAATGAACCAAACAAGCACTAGAAAGGAAAAAAAGAGTAAAGTATTGATATTAAATTACTGATTTTCTCATCAACTACCACTGATATTAGGAGTAATATACTGAAAGAGCAGCAACATGCTTTTACTTACACTTCAGTTGTTCCAATGCCAAAAACTTTCAATAACACTCAAAATAATATTTTACAGATTATTCTGAAGCAACCGATATCAAGTTCAGTGTTCACTCCATATATGCACCTGTCACAACATGAAAGATCTTTTATCTTTTGTATTACAACCATTTTTGATGATGTATTAGGCAGTAACATTTATGGAAAACATATTTAATTTATAGATACTGTTTATCAAACTTAAACTTTAAATACAACATACAACTTTGGAATGAATAAAATACTCCAATAATTTGAAAGACTCTGTTTAAGTAAAATATCACAGAATAGTGTTGATAAATTTAAGCAAAATATTATACAATAATGTTGATAAATAAACACAAGAAATCAGCTATAACAAGTCATTTCATTGCACAACTGAGTTAAAGATTAACACAACATAAATAAATACTGAACTTTTTTTTATACAAGATTGGTTCCCCCCAAAAAATA